TGCAATTCGGGACATCCCTTCTCCCTATCGACCTCTGACACCTGTATTCCGCTCCTATGAGTGCGAAGAAGTTCACGTTCAACGTTGAAACGAGCAAAGAAAGCAACAACTCAAGACCGACTCATGGCCTGTTACTCAAAGTTGTTTCTAACCAAAGAATCCGAAACAACAAGAAATACTTCAAGAACAAGAATGCGGCCATCAATCCTCTTCGTTCACATACTGTCAACAACAGCCAACGCAGGGAGTTCAAACAACCGACCCATTTGTCAAATCGTGGCAAACCGCGGTCACGTTGGCCATAAATTGTTGTCATAAGGTTGTAACCTCATTACGCTCCTACTACATCCCGCCAAGCCGAGAGCCCTGCTAGTCAACCTTCGTCCACCAGCAAACCAAGATTGGGCTTCTTGACTCGGAGCGTCATCTCATCTTCACACCGGAATGTCTCCAACTCAAACTACCCTGCCGTCCTATCTCTGAGGATCGGGATGTCGTGTCCATAGCAACGGTCTTCTTTCCAATCCACAATACAGGACAAAGGCATCCTTCTCTCTAACCGGACACCGATCGTAAGCTACGCTTGAGTAATCCTACTTCATGTTCCATCTCTTAAACACAATCTGCTTATCTGTTTCCGAAGCTAACCACAAGATAATCTAGTTCGTACTCTTGTTTCGAACGCCTAATGGGTTGTACAAATTAAGGATTTGCAGGATCATCTGTCCTCCTCCTTCATGGGGCGTCTCCATAACGGCTTATATCAGCTGCAGTTAGCCCCGAAACAAGTCCATCTCCGCACTGCAGACAACAAAGAAACCACACTCAACCGTGGCACGCCCGCTTAGGACACCCTTCTAACCACGCCATTTCTATTTTAGCAAATCTGTTGATTCAATAAAAGCTGTACATCTTTCATTTGTATGCAAGTTTGTAGCATGGCTAAAAGCCATAAACTTCGCATTCAATAATTAGCAAAACAGCCTCTTTCAGCCCCCTTCAATTAATCACTCGGATGTTGGGGTTCGCAGCTTCCTCAAGAATCTTTAGAAACTGGTTTCAAAATATTACGTTCTTTTTTATTGAGATTACCGCGTTTTGTTGGATTTATTCCTCTGTTTTATAAGCAATGAAAACACTAACTAAAATTCAAAAGAATTTTTGGCAAAATCTTATTGAATCAGTTTAAAATACTAAACCAAAACTCCTTCCGTTCGGACGGAGGAGGGTGAAATTTACAAGTACTAATTTCAAAAACTTTTTTAAGCTCAACAGGGGATTATTCATCAGATACCTGCCCTCATACACCTGGAAGCAAACAGGCGTCGTCGAACGTAGCATCGGCTTTCTCGAGATCACTAGAACGCTTCTTCTAACGCCTCGCTACCGCAAAGATTTTGGGCTGTAATCTCTCTTCACTGCCAACTACCTCATAAACCGATCCCTTCTAAAAGTCTCCTCGCTTCAAAAACAAACCCTTATTACAGCTTCAATCGGCAACCGTTCCCTCCTACGATCCATCTCCGCATATTCGGGTGTCTTTGTTTCCGCGTGGGCTAAAGCCTTACACGCAAAACTAAAGCTATCCCCAAAGATCCGACGAATGCACATTCTGGGTTATTCCTCCGCTCATAAGGGATAGATAAATGGGCCTATATACATGTCCACGGGCAAGAATGGTTCATTTCAAGAAACACGTCGTGTTTCACAGACAAACATTCCTTATGCTTCGATTCATCTGGTAATCCCTCACCAAAACCTTCTGATCTCACCCCACAGCCCCCTTCTCCTTAATACCTCATTCTTACAATCAATCAAAAAATCAAGCAACTTCATACCCTTCCAAACCACGCTAATCACCAACTACAGCTCAACCAATTACATTCTTCAATCTCCATCTCAATCCTATCAACTCCTCCGACACCGACACACATCAAAATCATCAGCAGTCTTCCAATTCGGATCCCGTCAGCTACTCGTTGCCCCGTCCATCCTTATGATATAGACAAAATCCGCATCACCAAACCCCAGGCAACTTCTTATACTACTTGCCACCCAGAGACAAATGCCTAAAACACCGCTTAACTATACCCAGCAGCCAAACATCAAACACGTGGCGGTCAGCTATGTCGGCAGAAATTTGGTCGCTCTAAATACACAAGCAAGGAACCTGGTCACATTATCCTCCACCGGATATACAAACCGCGTTCTCGGTTTCACGCTGGACTTACAAAATCCAAAACCCTTCCATTCCGGTAAAAATCGACCAAATACAAAGCGAGCATTAGTCGGCAACAAAGGCTTCTCTCACAGCTCGAATCAACAGCAAAACGAACTTTCAGCCCGGTAAGCCAAAGTTCCTACCATTCGCATACTAACTCACAACTGGCTTTACATAACAACTGGCGGACAATACCAATTAGAGCGTCTCCAACGCAATTCTTGGCAGGAGAAACTCTCCGAAGACGCTATATGAGACAACCATCGGTTTCGTGGATCCATCTACTACCAAATTCAACGTATGGCAAGCTGCAAAATCCATTACGGACTCAAACAATCTCCGCGGCCCATGGTTCAAGAAACTCACAACACTTCTTCTCCAATTCGTGCTTCAGTTTAAGTCGTCCGATCCTTCCTACTACTTTATACCACAAACAGATTCCACCTTACTTCCTAATCTATGTGGAACGATATCTTACTAACAGGTAATAGACAATTTCCACAATGGCAAGCGACTACTCGATCATATGCACGTTACTTTTCAAATAGCAGATGCAGGATGTCTCCTTATACTCGCAATTTCAAATAACTCACTCCAGCCGATTGCATCCTCCTTCAGCAATCTATTAGGCCAGCCAATGATCTTTAGAGAGAAGCGGATTCTCTCTTGCACACCAAGCGGCGACACCAATAACATCCAAATCCACTCAGACAGGATTTACAACTCTTCAGAACTTAATCGACCCACAGCTTACCAGCACTAGATGCAATAGCGCAGCTCATTAACAGTATCTGTCCATTAACACGCCCCGACATTGCCTTCGCCGTTCAACTCCCATACTGTAACAATAATGCCAATCCCACGGTTGGGACTATTCCAATGCCATTAAAAACCTAACTAGATACATTTAAAGGCACCCTAACCCGCTCGGTATAAGGATCACCAGGGGCGACTCCAGTTACGTTCATTCGTTGATGCCGACTGGGCGGCGGAACGTCATGGATCGTCAAGTATCCATCACCGTCACTGCACGTTCCTCGCTCAACAATCATATCTTGGTGCTCTAAAGGAAGCAAACACTGCGCTAAATATCCTGCCACCGAGGCGGAGTATCGAGCGCTATCGCACAGCAGTATCCGAAAGTTATATGGCTTCGTCGCCTAGGCAAGCAGAACTCCCAGATCGCAAACTCGCCGACGGTCCATCACGATGCGACAACACCCTCGGAATCGCTTTGGCCCACAATCCCGTCTTTCAGCGAGAACCAAGCACATCGAGATCGATCATCATTATTACGGGATCATCTAGACTCCGGACAGATCTCGGTCATGGTCCATTAAGTAAATCGACCAGATCGCGATTATCTTCACTAATCTCTCAGGCTACTAGATTCATTTCTCTTCGCAACAAATTGAACATTCAGTCCTCGAATGATCAATTTGAGGGGAGATATAAGCATTTAACAGTAGCGATCAAGTTAACACTAACGTGTATTAGAGATATATTGTAACCGCCTGTTATATTCCTATATATACCCCTGTAAATTCATCATTTTATATCTTCAATAATTAACAATCCCTTCTTAAACGTCCTATTCTTGTTTTCTGCTTCAATCTTCTCTGCCCGGCTGGGTTCGCAACAGAAAGATAAGATTTTGGAGGAGACGGAAAGGAAAAAATTATTGATTTGATGAAGATGGCGGAGAAACCGAGAAAGAAACCTAATTAAAAGAACAAGTTAAATGAAAGTTTTTTTAGATATAATTCAAAATAATTTGTAAAAATAAAGCTAAAAAACCTGCTGCAAAGGAAGTTAACAAAGCAAAGAAATTAAAATAACATTTGAATTTTAATATGTTTTTGTGAACAAATAGTAATTTTTCAGTTAAACTAAAGAAATAGTGAATATAAAGTAGCAAGCAAAATAAATAGTAATTTTAAGAATTTTTCAATTTTTGTTTATTTCATGCATAATGTTCATAACTTAAATTAAGATTTCTATTATATTTTATGTATCAGAAGAAAGATTGATTCCATTATTATTTATTGGTCGGCAATGGCCAGATCTTCTTATTACGTAGGGTTCAATTTCAGGTTGATGGGTCCGGGTTTTGAATCGAACCCGAGTTGACTCCGGATCTAAAATGGGGTCACAACCCGAACCCGACCCGTTTTTGCCAAAACGGGTTGAAATTTCAACCCGGACCCGTACCCGGCGGGTTGCCGGTTGACCTGACCTGACCCGCGGGGCAGAGAATGAGCAGTTCGGGAGGTGCGCACGAAAGCGCGGCGAGCCGGCGAACGCGGGAGCGGCATCGAGGCTCGAGTGCGGCACGAGCGCGGCGACAGTGCGACACAAGCGCGGAGAGTCGGCGACAGCGCGACACGAGTGTGGCAGCGAGCGCGGGTTCGGGTTCGGCAGCGAGGGGGAATAAAAATTTTTTAATTTAAACGGGTTTTCGGGTTGACCCGGCAACCCGCCGGGGAACCCGACCCGTTTTTCAAACGGGTCAAATATGGGAATCCAAACCCGACCCATTTTTCAAACGGGTCGGGTCCAACTCGGATTTTCCGGGTCGGGTCAAATATTGACAGCCCTATATCTACGTACCAAACCAACAGTCTACAGGCACTCATATACTAACCTAATTTTTCATTCACGATCGAATCATATATTGACTTCCACTTTGCTTGAGAAAAAGTCCAAATTGTGATTTATATCTCTCATCTCATCTAATGATAAGCTTGCTGATATATATTGACTTCCACTTCATTCTCTTAATATAATATTAATATTACATAACTTTTTCTTTTCATATCACTATATCATATACTTAAAAACTTATTTACATTGAAACTAGAAGATGGACACCACTATTGGAGACCTAGAGCTCCAAGTTAGCAACGATGAGAGCCAGCAGAACACTCAAAGCAGGCTGAGAACGAAGTGGAGCATGGACCTGCAAGGGTGCCTTAAGCCTCTTTCCCGTATAAAAGAAAGAAACTTGGCAGAGCCTCTTTATCACCATGCAAGCGTAAAAGAAGGTGAAGGGTGGAGTCCTTCGGGATCTTGTAGTCTGCCAGGGTGTGACCATCCTCCAGCTTCCTGCCAGCAAATAAAAGCCACTGGTGATCAGGATGGAAGCCCAGCTTGTCCTGGATCATGGCCTTAACGTTTTCAATAGTGTCAGAAGTCTTCACCTCCAAGGCAAACTTACTGTTGCAAGTGACGGCGTTTATGAAAATTTGCATCTGTAACAATAGAAATAAACGCCATGAGTTAATCCAGCTAAATCAAGGGGGAAAAATTTCTCAAATGGATGTTTCTATGCGAAGAGAAAGGATTTCATGAAGATCACCTGAGCATTACTGTCATCATCGACGTTTGTAGTAGCAGTGAGATCCTCCGTCTTTACAGTGCTTTGCATCTATAACAAGACAATCGAACATGCATACATCAAGAGATCTAATAAAGAATCAGCGAAAAAAAAAAAAACTCTCAAATGGATATTTCTATGGCAAGAGAAAGGATTTCATGAAGATCACCTGAGCATTACTGTCATCATCGATGTTTGTAGTATCAGTGAGATCCTCCGTCTTTACAGTGCTTTGCATCTGTAACAAGACAATCGAACATACATCAAGAGATCCAATAAATAATCAGCGAAAAAAAAAAAGAAAACTCAGAATAACACTACTTTGGTGAGGAAGGAGCAGAGCTTAAAACGAAGACAAGTGCAGATTAATTGAGAGCTTAGAATGAAAACAAATTCAGGTTGGGAGTTTTTTATAGGCATCATTCACCAACCTCTTTCATAACGCGGGGCCGACCTCTCAAACGGCCTTAAGTGTGGAGGGAAGGCTGGAAGCAGGGAGATTATTGGGTTCGAACACCGGTCACGGCTTATTGTTCAATACTTCATAGTACTGAGTAATATTGAATTTGGTACTGTGAAGTACTACTGAGTTCGTTACTTCAGAGTATCAAGTAATACTGCTCGGTACTATAAAATACCGAGCTCATACTAGCTCAGTACCTAATAAAGGGTGATGTGATGCATTTTCATTGGACTCCGGACTTCATCCGATGTCTGAAGCTAATAATTTCCCTTGAAGCAGGGTTGATATATGGAGACTTTAATACTTCTGGCCAGCTCGGTTGCCTTTTTAACTCCCCTCCCAATTCCTATAAATACCCCCTTGTGGGCTTAAGAAATTTTTTTTATCTGAATACCCTTTGTATATTAAAAATTTTTGTTATATTTTTATGTAGGCAAAAAAAATTGATATCATTATTTTTTCTTAGCTTATTTAGCCAGAAGCAGTGGTCCCTTCAAAATATAGCTAACTTTTTATGGAGATTCTATTTATTAATCTTAGCAGTAACAATAAAATCATTTAAATCGTAGTAGTTGAATGGGGACTGCTCATTTACCTACAAGACCTTCAAAGCTACATTTCCCAAAAGCTGAAATATTTATTAGCCTTTCTATAATTTGAATAAGGGACCAATGCCCTAACTAAAAAAGCTATGAAACAATAATGGTACTTATGAGAAAACCATCTTAGAAAGGACCACTGTATTTATGTTTGATACTTCATCCAAAAATTATTTTAATTCAGCGTGAATCTCGAGATAAAATCTTAATATTTATTTAATCAATGTATTAAATTGATATTTATTATGGGTATTAATTAATTTTAGTTTTAATTTACTTTTATTTAATCTATGTATTAAATTAACATTTATTAGGAATTTGTATTCACTTTTTTTTTCTTTATTATTTTATCTCTATAAATTAGGGGTGTCAAAATTTGATCTGACTTGAACCCGACTCGAAAAAATCTGGATTTGTGTCAACCAGTTTGCCATACGGGTCGGGTTCAGATTCTAGATTTTGACTCGTTCCTAAAATTGGGTCGGGTTTGAGTTGACATGCCAACCCGAAATTAATCCAATTTGACTCGCCATCAACATGCGCCCCCATAGCCACTAGTCGCATAGGGTGTCTCTTGCCCCGCATACAGCAGCGCCGCAGCAGCATGCCTCGGCCAGATGTCAAGTTGGCCTCGACCTCGACTCACACCCGTGATCCGTGACGTCAGCCGATCCCTCACTATGGCGGCTAGCCTAGCATAGACACTCATCTCACTAACCCTCACACCCGTTGACTTGCAGTCAAGCCGGACCACTAGACTAGCCGGTCCTTGCGGTCACGGACCTCGCAGGAGTCGCACCATGCGGTGGCCTCGCTCTGCACTGTTCTTAAGCCTCGCCCGACATGCCTACCATGCGTCCGTGCTAGCCACGTGACATTTGACGAACGGGTCGTGGGTCGGGTTAACCCGGTAACCCGCACGGGTAGGTCCAGGTTGGAAAACTTGACCCGTTTGCAAAAACGGGGCGGATTAAGGTTGAGCCGTTTATGACCGAGTCAAGTCGGGTTCAACCTAAACCCGACCGTTGACCCGAATTGACACCCTTACAATAAATATTATGTAAAATTTGTAATATGAAAATTAAAGAGTATAATTCTTTTCCTATTTGTATACTGATGTCCTCTAATAAATGTCTGTGTTAATCTTATTTTGCTTGGTATATAATAATATTTTTCAATTTATTTGAATTGTCTTGTGTTAATCTTAGATTTATTTGTGAATTACCAAATATATAGTTATATGTTCTGATATTGATTTCCTCTGATGTATGCTGTTCTTTTTTTTTTGGTTGGCAAATAATGCTTATATAATGTTCCCAACCCTAAAACTTACCTTTATGCTATATTATTTTTTTGATAAGAATAGTTTCGGTTGTTGTTATTTTGTTTGGCTCCGGTTTAGGGTTTAGGGTTATTTTTTGATAAGAGTAGTTTATGCTATATGTTATTTTTTTGATAAGAGTAGTTTCGGTTGTTGTTATTTTGTTTGGCTCCGGTTGGTTGGGTGTCGCTTCATTTTGGTGGGGTGCTATGTGTATTTACTTGGTGGGCTTGTAGTAGCTCTTGTGGTGGCTGGGTGTCTTTTTTTTTTTTTTTTGGTTTGGAGTTTTTTTTTAATCTCTTGCTAGATTTTGTTGTTTCTTTCGGCTTTTGGTTGGAATGTTGCTAAGGCTATGGGGTGTTGGCTATTTGGCTTTGTTCGTGTTTACTTGTCTGGTCTCATTTTTCAGGTCCGGTTGATAATGATGCAGGTTTCTTGCACACTCTCCTGGGTGGCCACGGCTCGTTTCAGCAACCTTGATGGTTCTTAATTACATCTGCGTGGTCAATGGTGGCTTTTTTATTTTAGACTTCTTATTGTTGTATTATCCGCCTCCAATGAATAGTCCGAACATGACAACTGGGATACAATACTGAGTTTGACAGGCTTTAGGGTTTTTTTTTTCCAAATTTAGATTATCTTTCATTTTCAGATTGCTTTGCAATCTATCGCTTATTGTGGTATTTTAAGCTCCATATTTTTGTGTTTGGGCCTCTTTTGACCTATGATTGTAAGTCCCTTTTCATCTAGAATAAAAAAATTTGTTTCGTAAAAAAAAATGATAAGATTAATATAATTCAATCTATTTGCATTTAATTTGAGAATGTTTTTTTCCTTGATTTCTCTCAAGTCTTTCTTGGATCTATTGATATTTGATCCCACTGTGAAGACTAATATTTCGTTTGGGACGGTTTTCTTATTGTTTCTTAAAATAACTTTTTAGTACAAAATTTTTTATTTTTTACTAAAAAACTAAAAAACTACTTTAAAAAACAGTAAAAAAGACGTACAAAACAAACTTAAGACTCTCACTGACAAAATGATCACTGCTTCTATCAAAATAAATGAGATTTGGATGAAATATACTAAAACGATTTAAAAAAACTTTCATCATTTCTTGTATGGAGATTTGTTTTCTGTCTCTTGGTATAGAAACTTCTGGAACAAAAAGTTGGCCTCGTTTGCATTTGATTTTTTTTTTTCCTACGGTCTTCATCAACTATTGAACTTTGTTTCTGAAACCATCTTGGTTGTTGTGGTATCTGATTCAATATTTTTGCTCACGTTTTGGTTCTTTATTGTTTTGATTTAATATATCTAGGGGTGCAAGTGTCAGAGCTGACTCAAACTCAATTCGTTAACCAGCTCACGAGTTGAATTTATTGAGCCTAGAGCTTCAAGGTTGATGAGACTCAACTCGTTGGCTCGTGAGCTTATCGAGTCATTCAGCACACTCAGGTTTAATCATTGAACCCTAAACTTCATCTTCTTTTGATTTTATGTCCAATCCAATTTTCATAACTTTACTGCATCTATTTCTATTCAAAAACCCATTTTTTTTAATTTTGCATACATATATTTTTGTTGACTATTAAAAAAAGAGAAAAAAAAAGAAGAGAGACGGAGCATCAAAAAAAAAAAAAAAAAAAAAGCGAAGTGACGAACATGTTTATGCAGAACCGACCTCATACGATTTATTCCCAAACAAAGCAACCTTTCGTTCAAATCAACATAAACTGCTCTCTCGCTACTTTAAAACAACGACTAACAATTGCGGTTGGAGGATTCATTCGCACTTCTCCTTCGCTCGTCTCTTGGTATCACACATAGATAGAGAAAATCTGAAGTCGCCTTCTCCCTCACTTCCGCCAAATCCAACCCATCACGAACGAAACCGGCGGAACCCACGACCAGTCCGCTTCTGCCTGAACCAATTTGCCTCGATGTTCCAGTTGCCGCCCACGTCTGAGCAACCCGAATCCCTAGCCGTTCGACGCCTTCGACCTACCTGTACACGCACAACCTTCCCATAGCCGCTCGAGCCCTCTGCCTCCAACCCGTGTGAATACCTACCTTGACCTTATCCGCCTCTTCCTTCGCCAATCAGCCCGAAATCTCATTCCTGTAAGTATGGGAATTTGGTTTCACGTGAACTATGCTTTGCTCACATGCATTACTCCGATTCATACTTATATAATCCACTCAATTGACTTAATCTCCCACCTCCTCTTATTTCATGAAAAACCCTGTACTTAATATTTCAGTTGTATGGGTATTCTATCCGTATGCATGGGATTTGTCTTAAAAAAGGGCTTCCAAGACAGCAATCCAAATTACTTGTTATAATCACATGACTACTGTATTTAATTATAGTATGCTAATTAATTAAGATAAAGGATTGCATAAATAATAAAATTTTACTATGGCTATAAAACAAAACATGTACTCGAAGACCCGCACCATCGATCTTAGATCTGGGCGGATGATTTTAAAATTTGAAGACATGCTCCGTTGATTTTTAATCTGGACATATGGTTTTAAAATTGAAGACCGGCGCCATCGATCTTAGATCTGGGCGGATGATTTTACAATTCGAAGACCTCACGCAGTCGATCTTAGATCCTGGTGAGATGGTTTGAAATCGAAGACCCTACGCCGTCGACCTTAGGTCCGGGTAGGAAGAATTACGGTAGTGTCGTCCCGATTTCTCCCTCGGTGGGGAGGAGACGCCGGGAGGCTGCCGAAATTTTCTGAAAATTACTGAATTTTCCTCTTTTTAAAAAATAATTAGAGAGCAAATCAATTTGAATTTTAATTAATCAGTTGATTAATATAAAGACAGGCTTTAGGGTTTTTTTTTTCCAAATTTAGATTATCTTTCATTTTCAGATTGCTTTGCAATCTATCGCTTATTGTGGTATTTTAAGCTCCATATTTTTGTGTTTGGGCCTCTTTTGGCCTATGATTGTAAGTCC